CTATGTGGATATTAGGTAGCTTAGTGCTACGTGTAGTGTTCAATATTTTTCAGCCTGAGCTTCAGGTAAAAAAAACAACTCTTATGATTTATGCTATCAAAAGCGAAGTCTCATGGCTGGGGATTTAGCTCAGTGGTTCCACTACCTGCCTCACAAGCGCAAGGCCTGGAATTTGATCCTCAGTATCCACTCCCCAAAAAAGTGAAGTATCAGTCTCAGATTGCCAGCAGAGACTAATAATATAAGGATGTTTCAACTGATATTTAGCATATGTAAACAATCTGATTACTAACCTACAAGAGCACTAACAAGGAACCATATAATATGTGATGAATTTTACTAATTTCTTGATTTTATTTTTGAAAAATTTATTTGGCAAGCATATACTATATACACACATATGAGGGGGTGTGGTTCTTTTCTAATAAAACTTTTTACAAATATAGATGATATGCCAAATTTGGCTTGAGAGTTAGTCTTTGAACGCAAGGAAGATAAAAGAATGGCCAAAAAAGTGCATGAAAAACTACTCAACATAGTACTCATTGGGAAATGAAAACTAAAACCTCCATGATACATCAGTATATTCTATAAAGACAGAAATTTAAAGCACTGACTATATCAGTGCTGGCAGAGATATGGAAACACCAGAATGTTTATATTCTGTTGATGGCCATGTAAATATTGTACAAGCAGGGTCAGGAATTCAGCTCAGTGGCATCATGCCTGATTCCCCATACCCCCCCCCCACCAAATGTACAAGCACTTGAAAACAGTTTTTAATTAGATCAGCAATTTCATGCTTAGGTACTTTCCAAGAGAAATCAAAATAAATGTCCATATACAAACAAAACAAAAACAACAACAAAAAAAGGACTGCGGATTTAGCTCAGCCCTTTGGTGGCCTGCCTTGCAAGTGCAAGAAGCAGAGCTCGATCCCTGGTACCAAAAAAAATGTCCATACAAAAAGTTGATTTTCCCTGCTTCATCTCAAAATGTTTCTCCTTTTTCCTTCCTAATTGTAATTCTTCCTTTCCAGCGGGGCATGGTGGTGCATACCTGTAATCCCAGCACTCAGAAGGCTGAGGCAGGAGGATTGCTGCGAGCTCGAGAGCAGTGTGGGCTACATAGTGAGACCCTGTCTAAAAAACAAACAAACAAACAAACAAACAAACTCCTTCTTTCCAAATGTAACTATCAGTTGTGCTCATGGAAAGAACTTTTTCCCATCAAATTCTCCTTAAATCTTACCTGCTCAATTATTCTATTTTATATTAACTCTTCCCCTCATTGTTCTTCCCTTTAGTTTACCAAATAAAGCATGTTTCCTACATTATAACACAGGGCTTGACAAACATTCTGTAGAGGTCTAGGTAGTAAATATTTTAGGCTTTATTGCATATTCTTCTAAAAAAAAAAAAAAGCTTTTACCAATATTATCTCCTCTCAACAAATAAATTTGCTATGTTGTTATCATACATCTAGGACCAGTCCTTCTAGAGTTTTTCATCTTATATAATCCTTGCAACCATAGGATATTGAAACTCTGCAAGTTTAAATGATTACCCAGTAAACACCAGAACTGTTTTATAACCAATTTTTCTATGTTTTGTAACCAGTATTTCTTTCCATTATTTCACACTACTGTATTTCTACCTTTCTTCACTGTCACTTGTCTGGAAAAAAGAAATCTTTTTTGCCCTTTCCACTTCTTTACTCTAATTCCTATTTATTTCTGTATTCTTTAATCTTTTCAGAGTCTGACTTGTCTCCACTCCTATTAAAAAACAACTGAACAACAGCAAAATAGAGTATTTTTCTATCCTTAAAAAAAAAAAAAAAAAACCCAACTGAACAACCTAGTGATCTTTTAAGATTAAAAAAATACAGGGCCAGGGATTTAGCTCAGTGTTCCACAGCCTGCCTCACAAGCACAAGGACCAGAGTTCGATCCCTGAAACAAAACAAAACAAAAAATCATCTTACCAATTGACATTTAAATATGTTCAAAACATACTGCAGTCACTTTGTTTGCTTGTTTGTTTTTTGAAACAGGGTCTCACTATGTAGTTGAGAATGACCTGGAACTCACTATGGAGCCCAGGTTGGTCTCAAACTCACAGTGATCCTCCTGCCTCAGCCTCCTGAGTGCTGCAATTACAGGAGTGTGCTACCATGCCCGGCTAGTGCTCCATTTTGGAAGGAAATGTTCTGGAATTAGATAGTAATGATAATTAGATAATCCTTTAAATACACTTTTAAAGGGTGAATTTTATGGCACATATGTATCTTAGTTTAAAAAAAAAGAACAACAAAAATATTAAATAGAATCCTAAATTCCTTTTCCTCCAGTCAAGTGTATGTATATATGTGCATATCATTTTAATTTTTCTTTGTCATAAGCACAAAATTATTTACATGCTGCTACATAATCATTACAAAATGTCTTTCAGTTAGAAAATATTACAATAGACAATTAAAATATTGTTTAATGAATTGTTTTTATTCTTCCAATGTTAAAAAAATGTATGTTCACGACTAAACATAAACATAAGCATACAGCTTCCCCTTGTTTTTATGGTATTTTCCTAAATTCTGAAGGTGAAATTATTGAGGTAAAAAACATATAATACTTTTTTTTTTACTATACTAGGGATTGAACCTAGGGCCTGTAAATGCTATAGAGGAGCAGACCATTAAGCTACATTCCCAGCTCTTTTACAAAGAAGTTTTGCTTAGTTGCCAAGGCTAACCTTAAACTTGTGATCCTCCTCCCTCAGCCTCCCATATAGCTGGGATTACAGGTATACGCCACCATACCTGAGTATATGTGGTACTTTATGGCTCTTAAAACATGATTACTGTCTTACAGGCCTGATGCAAATTTGTACCACCAGAAGAGCATGTGTAAAACAGACACATTTCTCCACAGGTTACCAACATAAGGTGTCACTATTTTCAAATGTAATAAATTGTAAATAAACGTGGTAAAGAAAATGGTAAGTTCTTCCTCTTAGTTGGATCTACTTCTAAACTTTTATTCTGTTCCACTCATATAATTACATACTTGTAGTTTTGTCATACGTTTTTACACATGATGTTGGATATTCTTTCCTTATCTTTTTTTTGGACTATTTTCTCATTATGTATTTTGCTATATATATATTCCAGAACATATTTGACAAAGTATAAATTCCTTTGAATATTTCTGGCATCTGAATATTCAGTGTCTTTGTGGAGACTATCCCAGAGTCCTCTCAGAAAAGAGACCCTTGGGCTGAGGATTTAGCTCAGTGGTTCCGATGCCTGCCTTGCAAACGCAAGAACCCGTTTGACCCCCGGTACCAAAAAATAAAGCCCCCGACCTCAAAAAAAAGAAAAGAAAAGAGACCCTTTATGTTCTCTCCCTTAGGTTAGGGACATGGAATTAGTGATATCACTTGTCCAGAATGCATAAGGCCCTGCATTCTGTTCATAGCATAGTGCCAAAAAGCAAACCAAAACACCCAAAACAAAAACTATATTCTTTCCCAGCAACCTGTGCTTACATGGAGCATAATATATATCATGCTGTATTCTGGGAAGCTAAATGAGAGCTTCGTATCTTACCTCTGTATCCTAAGTTAGTGGCACATAACACTGTATCAAAAAGCTGAATCAATGAATGAATGCACTGAAGACACCACTTATATCATCAAATAAGAAATTACTCCTTATCATTGTACATGATGATAAAAATACAGTGAATGGTTAAGTTTTAAAAAAATTACTGTAAAAGATACACTGCTATTAACCTACTTCAAAACACTACCTCTTGCTTCACTTATCCCACCATTCTTTCCATTTTCTGAAGCAGTTCTAGAAGTCTACTGTCATGTTTTTAATTGCACTATCATGGCAACATGTTCTGAATCAATTCAAAATATTTATTCTTCATGGTCATTTTGACTTTGAGAAGAGCCACAAGCATGATATACATGGTGGCAGATCCAGTGAATAAGGTGGATGAAGACACACCCTGTTTTTAACTAGTCTGCCTTTCCATTTGATAGCAGTTAGCAGCTGCAATTATGTTTATTTTTTAATTTTTATTTTTACTTTTGTGGGTACCAGGGATTAAGGGACCTTACACTTGAAAGGCAGGCAGCGGCACCACTGAGCTAAATCCCCAGGCCTGCAATTAAGCAATTCTGATCACAGCTTTTAAAGACACTAAAGAAAAAGAACTTTTAGAACTGCTTCAGAGAGTGGCAAGAACAAGGCATAGTGTGTTCAAAGAGAGGGGGAATATTTTTGAGGGGAATTAATGGCAATGTAACTTTTTTTGTGTGTGTGTTACCAGGGAATGAATTCAGGACCTTGCGCTTGCAAAGCGGGTGTGGTGCCACTGACCTAAATCCCCAGTCCTCAATGTATCCTCTACTGTAATAAATTTTAAAAAATTTAAACACTCAACATATCTTTTAGTCTCCCTTTGTACTAGGAGCTGGGAAAAAAACAAAGAAAGAAAAATTTTTCTTTTCAGGGACTCTGTACTCTAAAAGAAGGAGAATTAAAGGGATCCTACTAATATATTTCAGCAACTATAACAGAAAAATAATTATATAATTAATGCCATTATAAATTTAAATTTAAAGACTGTAGAGAATGATTACTGTGGAATCACTGTATATGAAGGAATCTTAAAATTTGAGATGGGCAATATAGCACTAAGTGGATGTGGATAAGTAGAAAACAAAGGTAGTCTACAGGTAAAAACATGAGCCAAGGATTTAGTCAGTGGTGTCACCACCTGTCTCGCAAGGGCAAGGTCCCGAGTTTGCTCCCTGGTACTACACACACACACACAAAAAAAAAAAAAACCAACAAAAAAACACCTCAAAACATGAATAAAGCCATGTGGTGGGAATCACTGTGATATATGAGTCATACATCTATCCATTCCACAAGACTCAATTATCTGCCCAAAAAGTTTTTGTTCAGTAAAGAAAATATTTTACCTGAAGTTCTCCAAGTTTCTTGGATGTTGGCGAAACAATGGTAAAAAATCCACTGATTTGATGAGTTGGAGAAAGCTGAGCTATTCCATTGATCTGAACTCTACCAATTGGGAGATGATCAAGTTTGGTGATTACTTCCAGCACTAGAACAGCCATATCTAATCAGAAACAATTACAACACACTCAAATATTATTCATTTATTTACTTTTCAGAAGTAAGCAGAAGGGCATACTTTTAAAAACCTTTTACTTAAAAATTTATTTTCATTTCAAATAAACCAGGCACTTACTTGCCATACCATTCTGGAGCGGGAAGTGGAGAGTGTGAGTCCAAGATCAAAAGAACAGTAAAGATTTAGAGAATGATGAATACCTTGCACTAAGAAAAAAACTTTCATTAAATAAAATATTTAGCATACCAAGTATTTGATAAGGAAAGTCTCTTTAAAAGAATAGTGTTAAATATATTTGTGAAGAACTCAGGTTTTGATTTTGAATAACAAATCTCGGTTTTTAAATTTTCACTATTGTAGTGCTGGCCAAAAGGATGCTCCTGCGTAGCTCTAAGGGTTGGTCCCTGTCTCCCAGAAGTATCTAATTGTTTACTCCTTTCTTAGCACCGCTGAGATATTAAGAAAATTTGGAATTAGGAAAATGGAAATAAACACCTTAACTAAATTCTTTTTCTTTTTTTGGTGGTACTGGGGATCAAACTTGGGACCTTGTGCTTGTGACTCCACTGAGATAAATCCCTGGCCCCACCTTAACTAAATTCTAATACTCACTTAGACCCAATAGCTTTCTGGTCCTAATTCATAGAAAGAAAAATATAATGCACCCAAATGGAATGTGACATCATTTCAAGATAGCATAAACTCTGAATATTTTTAGCGAAGTTGAGACAAAGTTTCATTTTCACCATTTGTTCAATTACTACAATGAAAAGCATGGAGATAATAAGACCTGTGATTTGTCATGGCTCCAATATACACAAGCCAGTTATATGAAAGCCACAACAGAGGGACTTGAAAATAATTCATAAATTATAAAATACTATATATTTCTCATTGTTCTGATGTTATTTTTATCTTAACTCATATAATCTGACTATATTTCTCCCTCTAACCTAGACTTATTTACATTTCATGCTAATATGTGAAAACATATTCATTAGTTTACTTTTGCATTTTAAGTGCAATGTGTAAAGCAGATGTGATAACCACTACACTATGGAACTGCGCACTTAAGTGAAATGTGCATTCAAAAGAGTACATAAAAGAAAAAAAATAAAATGAACACTCACCTCACAGGTTAAGAAATACTAATATTTTTCCTAAGTTTTCAGTTAGAGCACACACTCTTGTAAACTAATATTTGGTCTCTTGGCTCTCAATTTTCTAAAAAAAAAAATACTATGCTGATGTCCACAGCTAGGAAATTACATACAAAATTTCTTCATCTATCTTCTATTGAAATCCTACCTTTTCCATGATTTCTTAACTTCTTTTCTAACTAGAAACATGGAATTTGATATTGGCACATTTGGTATTTAACTCTTTTCCATCCACTGATGGGAATATTAAAGCCCAGGAAGATGAAATGGCTTGCTCAAAGTCATATAGCAAAAGTAGGCTTTTGGTTTGCTAATAACTTACAATATTAACATCTACATGTATCAAGTAATCAGATATTTATATACTGTCTTTGTGTTGTCAATTAATCAGATATTTATATACTGTCATTTCTCATAGCCGTTTCATGTACGTCAGTTTTATTCCTTTTTTTTCCCTTAATTAAGACAAGGTCTCACTATGTAGCTCAGGCTGGCCTCAAACTCAAGGCAATCCTATCTCAGCCTCTTGAGTGCTAGGATTATAGGCATAAGCCAGCACGCTTTGCATCAATTTTGTTCCTCTCAACTAATCTTCAAGTTTCTTTTTGGTAAGGATTATATCTTAAATCTCCATAGCCACTATAGTGCCCAGCACTTAATATCTGTGTAACACTTGTACCTACAAAGTACCAGGTACTGGACCAATCATTTTACAAACATTTTTTCATTTAACTTTTACAATAATTCTACATGCTATTAATTTACATGCTATTAACTGAAGCTTTATAATCTTAAGGACTCTCCCATCTGACATGAAGTCAGAATTCAAACTCTAGATTTTCTACACATTATAGTCTGTGTTCTTTTCATTTAATCAGGTTGTTTATAAAAGTAAGTGAAAAGGTAGCTATTTGATCTCATTTTACAGATGAAGAAATGGGGTTAGATCTGAGAAGGTACTTTGCTAAAATTCTGTAGTTGATAGCACCAATCAATAGTTCAATGCATTATATACAGCACGGGATCCTCACATAAATGTTTGAACTATTGATTATCATATTAAAAGATATCTTTTACTGAATTTATAATCACTCTTCATGTGTTAAATACCACCTGAGTATTTAAATTTTGTTTATAGTACCAAAAGTACCTATAGATATCCCTTAATAAGCTACCATATGGTTAAACTTATTTGTGTAGTTAGAATTAAGAGGCCATTCTGATTTTTATCTGATTTATTTTTGTAATCTCCAGAGTGTGCCTTGTATAATGTCTAGTACATGCTAAGTATTCCATATATATTTATTCTGACTGAATTATAGCATTTGTTCTTTACATTCTTTTTTTTTTTGGTACCAGCGATTGAACTCAGGACTTTGTGCTTGCAGGCAGGTGTGGTGCCAATGAGCTAAATCCCTGGCCTTCTTTACATTTTTATTTATTTATATTTTTTGAGACACAGTCTCACTATGCAGTTCAAGTTCAGGCTGGCCTTGAACTCATACTCATTATGTAGCCCAGGATGGCTTTGAACTCGCAGCGATCTTTAATTCACCTCTGGTTTTCCATATTCATAGCCCAACAATGTTTACATGATAAATGTTCAATTTTTGTTGACTTGAACATGCTATGATAAATAACCTCAACATCCAAAATGTGTTTATGCGAAAGCTTGATCTGAATAAAGAAAAAACACCATACCTTCAGAATACTTGTTTTTTATTGGTACTGGGGATTAAACTGAGGAACTTGCACACTTGTGAGGCACTAAATCACTAAATCCCTGGTCCTTCAGAATATTTTCTTTGACAGAAATGAAGACATCTTGCCTTCTGGTTCCCTATAGAGAAATCCTTTCCATCTCTGAAACCGTAATATTAATTCACTAAAATATTAATTTGCTATTTACTTTGTACTGCTAGTAAATTTTATATTTATCTCCTGTTTCCTCACAGAAAATGTAGGTCTCAGAGTGGAAACTGCAGTTATCATCTAAAAACATGGTACACTGAAATGTCCATTGGGTTTTTACTTTTAGTTTCAATTTTTTTTAAAGGGGAGTCATGTTATGTTGCCCCTGCAGGCCTTAAACACCTGGGCTCAACAAATCTACTGCCTCAGTCTCCCAAGTTCTGTAGCTGGGATTAAAAAGCATGAGTTATGTTCAGAGGTGGGTCTAAATCCTAGTTCTGCCACTTATCAATTATGTGACCTTAGAATTCATTTCATCCCTCTGAATATAAGTTTCAGACCATAAAACTGAAAATTCCTATTTTACAGCATTATATGTATAAACTGCTAGCACAAAGATTACATTCAATAAATGGTGGTTTATTATAAAGGCTTTTTGATGCTTCATTAATTAAGTGTCTACAGATCCTACAAATAGAAGTACCTATTCCTAATAACGACTACGTGCTTCATGTTAGGTCTGCAGGTAAAACAAATCATACAAACCAAAACATACCTACCTGTTAGATAAGAAGTAAACTGCTTTGGACCACAGCGAATAGCATAACGTGTTGTTGTTCTCACAGCTTTTGGTTCTGTCTGTAATGCATCCTTGGGACAAAAGAGGGTTCCATTTGATGTTTCTCCCCACCATCTCACTCGGACAAGTACACAAGTGGGAGGTTTTGTAATCTTCCATATGACTTTATTAATAGTAAGTTTTAGAAAGCAGCGTAGCTGGCCTTCAACCAGAGGCGGTAGGCTTGTAGATGGCAAAATGTCACTCAAACCTATGGAGGAATCCAAGAACACTAACTCAAAAATCTAAATTAAATATAGAAAACATAAAATCTGCTTTCTAAATTAAAACAAAATGCTTTAATCTCTACATAGAGGAGATGTATCCTATTTATTCTAATACATAAAGTAACAAAGAAATCAGACCACAAAAATACCTACCAGATTACTTCTGTAACCCTGACAACTAATTAGTATTTAAGGCTTGGTTCAGGTTACTCTAACTAAAACATACGAATAGAAACTTTTTTAAATTGAAAAATACTATTTAAAAGATATAAATATGATACCAGTAGATAGGTATTCAAATCTAAGCAGCTGAAATTTAAAAAAATTACAGTTGTTTCAACTATTGCAACATTCAAATTTAAGATATCATATTTACCTAGCTTATTTTAAAATTTTCATTAAACATAAAGCAGCAACTTCACTGGACACACAATTTAGTCTTTAATCTGTATCACACAACTTAGTATTTCAACAAAAGCATCATTTTTTAAACAAAATGCATCTTAAATTGTGTCTTTTCTTTCTTGCCAAGATCATATAGTTGATAAGGATGGAGATCAACATCTTTAGACTCTATTATTTTTTAATGATGGGTTCAAATTTATTAGCTTTAATACTAATTGGATAACAGAAAAACGTCAAATGTAACAGGGCGATTAACCATGACTCTGGTTGTCTTCTTTTCAGTCAATATCTTTTCTACAAGACTTCAGAGAAACTTCTAAAATTATCCCTATATTATATAGACCTTTCTATGGGGAGTGGAAATGCCTAAGAAAATATACTGAAATCTATTAGATCAGAAATCTGTACAAGCAATTCTCTGAAATACTAAAGCAAACACTTTCTTCTTACAGTGGAGAAAAGACCCACCATAATCTTCATGGATAATTAGTTTTAATATAAAAGTTTTATGCGTGGTATAGTGGGGCTGTCTATAATTCCAACACACAGAGGCGGAGGCAGAAAGATCACTGTCTTAAAACTGCCTTAGTGGCATTTAAACAGCTCAAGCAAGACTCATTCTCAGACTGTACTCAGTCCTCAACCAAACAGCCTAAGACTATTTTCAACACCTCTATCTTCACTAAAGTGACTATTATATAAAAAGGTTCACATTTAAATGCCTTCCTTCCCCGTTGAAGCCAGCCTTACAGAGATTCAATTTCCAGTTTTCTGATAGGTCCTGAGTTTCTAGGGTGACCATTTTCACTGCAGCTAACATTACCTAATCATTTCGAAAGCTCATTTCTCCTAGGACTACTACCGTGAGAGGTCCTAAGGTCCTTGAAGCGATTCTCATGCCCGTATCTCTTACTCCAAATCCTATCATAGCTTGTCATTTCCCACACGTTTTCCTTCTACAATCTATAACTATCTTTCCCAGCTCCTGCTCCTAGTTCTTCATGCTTAATTCAATTAACATTTGAGGAGTCCTACTTTGTGACAGTACTTGGGGATTCAGTAATGACTAAAACGTGATCATTTTCCAACAAGACCATTAATATACACCCCTCTTCAATTTATGTTTCTTCCAGACACCTGTGAACCTTTAAGGCTACACATGTGCAAACGTATACATTTACCTTTGTCATAAAAAGCACTCCCATACTTTTTTGTTCTTCCTCTACCCATCCTATATTAGTCCTTGCCCTTCTTCACTACCTTTTTTTCCCTACCACCCAGGCACCATTTTCTTTCCATTCTTTGAAGATTACTCTCTTAGCCTTCTGGTTCTCTATTGATTTTCTCTCTTCCGTCCGTCTTCTCCCTCTTAACCAGCGAGGCTGAAAATCTCCCTACAATTCCGTACGCGCTGCTTCCTTTAACTTTGGACTGCTCGGGTTACCTCTCTTTTTCCGTCCACGGCCTCCCCCAGGTTCCTGGCCTTTTATTTGTTTCATGACTCGCCGGAGCTCTTCTTCACCAACTCAACTCCGGTTCCTGCACTTGGGATACATCCTCCCGCCATCCCTTCCTACCGCGCCGGCGTTCCCCGGGAATCCAGCGCCGCTGTGCAACCTGGGAGGCAGGAAGAAGCAGTTCTTTCTCCAACCGTCTCCGGAAAGTGGTGTCAAGGGATCACCAACTCCCCCGGTTCCTGCACTTGGGATACATCCTCCCGCCATCCCTTCCTACCGCGCCGGCGTTCCCCGGGAATCCAGCGCCGCTGTGCAACCTGGGAGGCAGGAAGAAGCAGTTCTTTCTCCAACCGTCTCCGGGGAA